TAACTTTGTGTCAGTACGTCATAAATAGAACACGGCATCAGTTTAATGTCCAGGGTTTTGTCGTGTCGCGCCCAATACAGTCTATGGTCGCGCCGTGCCGCATCTAATGTAGACAGCGTCACTGATTATAATGGGTTCTACTGTATTTTGCCGCTCGCATCCAGTGTAGTAATAACAGAGTAAATAACAGAGATAGAATAATAATAATAATAATAATAACAGTTATTTTTACATATGTTTATTACATTGACTTTGAATTACCTAAAGTAGTGTGGTAAAGCAACAGATTTGTTTTTATATTTCTGCAATCTACTTTAGTTTGTTTGATTTGTTACTGACTTTCATATTAATGTTTACACCAGGCTTATTTAAACAATTATTACATGCTTACAAGGTTGGAAGTTCAACAAATCAGTCAATATACTACTGTGATTGTAGTTGTTAAATAAAAATGTCATTCATATCAATTCATGCATCACCTAATTTCATCGTAACATATAGGCCTGGCCTACAGAAAAATTTGTTTTTGTTTAATCTATCTAATAGTGTGTTGGTCATACTATACAATGATTTATAGCTTGTCTTTGTTGAATAATACAGAACATAAAGAGCTTTAAAAAATAATTGCATATTAAATCGCAATCGCAATATTGGTAAAAAAAATCGCAATTAGATTCTTTTCCAAAATCGTTCAGCCCTAATTAAAATGGAATTTAAAATAATAATACATACAATACGCAGTGTACTATTCAGTATGAATAAAACACTACACGCTCCATAATGCGCACACCACCCTAATATAGTTAAAAATGGGAAAAATAATACTTCTCTCTAAAGTAAGCATATGCAAATCCATAAGTTTTTCTCCAGTGTTTTACCACCTTTAATATAAACATATACCTCACTGTCACATTTTAGCCTTGTTATACTTATCTTTCAATAAAAAACTCAAATTTTATGCCCTTAATGTTGAAGGCAGTTTTCCCCCATGGTATCGAATACCAATATTTTCCAAGGTATTGTATCAAAATTCGGAATTCCAATGCGCTAGGACGATGCACAAACGGAATTTTAACACTGCGAGCAAAATTAAAAGCGATGCTGCCATCAACTATGAGGGCATTTACAGTGATTTGCTCAATTCAGCTAATTAACATCTCACAGACTCTATAACGAACACAGCCTGAAGATCTTCCTCATGTTTTCCACACTTGTCAGGTGATATTTCAGTGAAGTCAGGAGGGAATGCTATCTGGCGTCGCCTTGCAGGCAAGATTTATATGCCATTTAATGAATGTGCAAATGAGCATGCATGAAATACTTTATACGAGCACAGCAAACACGGTAAACTCCCGCTGAACCGCATTTACATAGAGACAAAGCAAACAAACATACGTGCAAACAATAGGAAATGAGTGAAGGTGTGTGTGCAGACGGGAAGAGGATTAGTGCTGCGCGTTATTCAATTAGAAAACGATAATTGAGCTGCTAAGACTTGTCAAATAATCACATTAGAGCAGCTGCTGCGTTTCACTGAACTGAAGAGCTCAAAACATCTTCAAAACGTCTTCATTTCAACAACGAGGGAGGATTTGTTTACTACAATCATGGCAGATGATTTGAACAAACCTTTACTACTTTACTAAGTGAATTTTCACTTGGTGAACAATAAAAAGGTCAGAGTTTAAAGAAATAAATAAGAGTTTGATAAATGTTCGAAATAAAGTTTATGCGCCAAAAGCTGAGTGAAAGAGCACTACTCATTTGAAGAAATGTGGGTATTCGTATAGAATTTTATTATATTATTAATGTATTAAATGAGTAATGGAATATAATTACAATATTTCCTGTGATCCAGCTATAACGTTTGTGCATTTATTTTATACTAAATGTATTTAGACTACTGTTTTTCATACAAATACCTAGAAAGCATGTAGTTACATTTTCACAATGGTATTGAGGTGCTCTATGTGTTGTTTTAACTGTGGTTATGTGCATTTCTAAGTGACAAAAAAAATGTACTATTATTATTAATATTATCAGGCAACACAAACCTGTTTCTTGATTTGAAACAATATCACTCATTAGATCAACTAAGAAATTCATTTTATTTTGTCACAGAAAAGTGACTGAAAAAGTGTATAGAATTAAAAAATGTGACCATAAAGAGTAGTTTAAACCACAGTTAACGGTCTGGTTTTTACAACTTTCATTTAGGAGCAAAAATCTGCCTTTAAACTTGAATAAAAAATAAACATTGACATTTATCATAATAATTATCGATATCGACTGATATGAAAAAAATTATTGTGAACTATTACTATTAATGCTAATTGAAATAAAGCAGAAGTAATATAAAACATGAACTTTCGATGAAAAACTTAACTGTAAATTAGAAATGTTGTCTTGACAACTAAATCAAATTAAACAAATGAAAGCTAAACAGAAACATACAAAACTAATAAAAAAATGACAAAAGCATATAACAGAATTACTAGAACTTAAACCTACTTGAAATGAAAACTGAAAACATCAATAAAAGCCGATTTAAAATATTAAATATCATTAAAGTATATACACAATAGGGTTGTGACGGTGAGGAAATTTTCCCACCGGTTAATCGACGTGTGACAACACCGGTAATACCGGTATCACCGCGGGGGCGTTCCCTCTTTTCCTCGCTTTCCTTCACTTTTAAATAGCTTGTAAAAGCGGCGTGCGCATTTTACTTTCACTTTCAAATAGCGGCAGTTCAGCGTCAATTGCTTGAAAACAACAACAAAAAACAACATCAAACTCACTTTAGCCTATATATAAAACCATATTGCCAAACAGGCGCTTTTGCATCTCGTTTCGAAACTAAATCATCCGCGATCGTCTTGTCAGTCAGCTCGACTCACTCTCCTCACCGGATAAATGAAATCTGATCTGTGATGCAAATATCGTTCAACTGCACTGAGCAGCCACGTTCAGTTTTTAATTGTAGTGTCTGTTCTTTTACTGAACTAAATGATTTTTATTGCTACAAAAAATCTAAACGACGGTGGGGGTCGGTGACGTGGTGGACTAGTGACGTAACCGGTGTTGCGGCTTAACACCGATATCACCGTCAGCACCGTTTATCACGGCAAGCCTAATACACAACATTAAAATAACACCTTGGCAACTGTATAGTAACTCCCTAACATTGTGATGACCCTAGAATCATGTTGTGTTTGCACAAACAAGCAGCTTAAAAGTTCGCCCAGAAATGTAAATAACTAGTTCATAACAAGAAAGCAGTTTGTCCTCCTATGGATGCAGACAGATGTTTTATTTTAAATGTATAACAGCGTGTTCAAAATGTCTCCACTGAAGGAATTCTCTGCGCCTTAGATGAACCATCTATGAGTCAAGAGCGAGTGTAAAACACACCCACACAGCAGAAACCACCGCACTACTGTGTAAATTGCACCCAATTTTCTCTTTTTACAAAAGTCTCTTTTTACCGTAATAACCGTTCATAGAGCTGACAGATTTGTGTAAATGTAAGTTGTGGCGTGCCTCTCGCCCATTGCATGCTTAGCAATAAATCCAGGCTCGTGGGACAGGGCCCGCAAGGCATTGTGGGAAACACCTCTGTCTTTGGTCGAGCTGATGAGGTAATGACTGTTATGTTCTTTCACTATGTTGCACTTTGCCTTACCCAAAATTTGGACCCTGGGTAAAGCTCAGACGTGACCCTTAGGACATTATGACTAGTTCGTAAACTCTCTTAAAAAAATAGTTCACCCAAAAATGAACTCGGCCTCACGTCATTCCTAACCTGTTTGACTTTCTTTTTTCTCTGGACAAAAATATATTTTGATGAATGTTGGTAACTCAACAGATTTGGTTCCCATTGGCTTAGATTATTTGGACAGAAAGTACAATGGAGAAAGTGAATGGGAACCAAAACTATTCAGCTACCAACGTTCTTCAAAAAATGTGTTCAACAGAAAAACGAAAGTTATTCATGTTTGGAATTAGGGCTGCACGATTATGACAAAAATCATAATTGTCGATTATTCCCTTGAAATTGTAATTGAGATTATTAATTACGATTATCACAATTTACATTGAATGATGTTTATACCATTGTTTGATGCAACTGCATGCCGTATTTTTATATGAAAATAAACCAGCTGAAAACACTCTCACTGAAAAACTTTTATTGCTTTTCTATAGTATTAAGCCTCAAATGTCAACTATACATCGGATTGGTTTCTTCTTTAAATGATAAAAAAAGTAAAAATATGAATGGTATTATAATGTTATACTAAAACTAAAACAATGGAAAAACCCTTAAGATAACATGTAGAAAGAAAAAAACATATCTTAAGCGTGCAGAATAACATAAGTGGACTTTGAACGATTAATTGCCGCTTTGAACGATTACGTAATTGTGGCATCCATAATTGTAATCGCGATTAGAAATTCGATGAATTGTGCAGCCCTATTTGGAATGACATGAGGGTGAGTAATTAGGTGGACTATCTCTTTAAGTGTTTTTTTTTTTTTTTAAAGCTTTTATGTTGCATCATACAAGGGTGAGTAAATGACGCCAGAATCTTAATTTTTGGGGTGAACTTTAAGAGCTGACATGGGATAAAATCTTCAAGAACTCACCGTTTGATGACTGCGGTCGCAATAGCGAAGCCCAAAATACTCTGATTCGGCAAGGTTCACGTGACTGAACACATAATCCAGCACTACAGAGCCTTTGGTTGATTTCTGTGGAGAAACGTGAAACATGCATTAGAAATCTCATTGTGAATATACTGTTTTCAGACGGCAAACAACATTAAAGAGATAGTTCACCCAAAAATGTAAAGACAAAAGCTGAAACAAATCCAGCATTAAGACGTTTTTAACTAATGCTTCTTCCAGTGAAAAAGTCCATCTCCTGTTGTCTCTCAAATCTACCCACATGTTTTTAGAGCTGTTTTGGCTTGTAAACTGTGCTTGATCTGTGCAGATTTCTCTCCTAATTCAGATCAGACCACTTTTTCACTGGAGGAAGCAATATTATGGATAGAGGACTTGTATTTTAGTTGGAAGCATGATGGAAGCACGTCTTAATTATGGATTAGTTTCAGCTTTTGTCTTCTCCAGATGTTAACTGATGGACTGGAGTGGTGTGGATTACTTGTGGATTATTGTGATGTTTTTATCAGCTGTTTGGACTCTCATTCTGACGGCACCCATTCAGGATCCATTGGTGAGCATTTCTTCAAATCTGTTGAAGAAACTAACTCATCTACATCTTGGATGGCCTAAGGGTGAGGACATTTTCATTTTTGGGTGAACTATTGCTTTAAAGTTATAAGCTCGACTATACTGCATCTCTCCCGAAAGTGAGAGGAGGGTTTGTGGCTTTGTTCTGATTTAATACGGTGCTTGACGGTTTACTTTCAACCACAAACCGCACCTATGATAAATGACCCGTGCACACACTAGTTACAGCATGAAAACATACCGCTAATGCCAATAAAGCCGAGAATGACTAGGTAAATACAAGTAAAAAGAGGTCAGATAAAGGAAACACAATGACTAATCTGTCTTGACGATCCTTTCCTCGTTTTTGAATATTGCTCTAAATCTCCTACAGTTGTTTGATATTTCTGTCCAGACACGCTGAGTTGACCTTTATCTGACATAAGAGATTATCACTCACAAACACAGCTGTGATGTGAGCTGACACCAATGTCCGTCACACCCCGAGAATGAATTATAGGCTTAACTTTCATTAAATACATAAAAGGAAAAATGCATGAAGATACTAAACTTTTTAAGTAAACGTTTTGTTACAATTAGAGCCGAGCATATCACTGCAGTTCAAAAAGGTAACCTTTTCGGGTTGCCATGATTTTTTAATGTTGTTGAGAGAAGTCTCTTCTGCTTTAAACTGATGAAACATACAGTAAAAACAGTAATAATGTGAAATATTATTACAATTTAAAATAGCCGTTTTCTATGTGAACAAATGTAATTTATTGCTGTGATCAAAGCTGAATTTTCAGCATCATTACTCCAGTCTTCAGTGTCACATGATCTTCAGAAATCATTCTAATATGCTGATTTGCTTCAAGAAAAATGTCTGATTATTATCAATGTTGAAAACAGTTGCTGCAGCTGAATATTTTTGTGCAAACTGTGATATGTTTTATTTTTCAGGATTCTTTGATGAACAAAACGTTCAAAAGAACAGCATTTATTTGAAATAGAAATCTTTTGTAAATGTCTTTACTGTCACTTTTGATCAATTTAATGCAATGTTGCAGAATATAAGTATTAATTTTTTTTTTTTTTTAAACTCATAGTGACCTCATATTTTGAATGGTAATGCATATCAACATATGTATGCCTTTGCCAGCAGCAAATCAGAATATTATTATGATTTCTGAAGGATCATGTGACACTGAAGACTGGAGTAATGATGCTGAAAACAGCTTTGATCACAGAAATAAATTACATTTTACAATATATTCACATAGAGAACAGCTTTTTTAAATATAATAATATTTCACTGTTTTTGGCATATTTTCAATCAAATAAATGCAGCCTTGTTGAGCAGAAGAGACTTAAAAAAAAAAAAAACATTACAAATTGTACTGATCCCAAACTTTTGAAA